TCGTGAAGAAAAATATTCCTACCACAAATAAACTTTTACTGGAATTGAAAGCTGACATTGATTTTAAATATGGCAGATTTTAAATCGTTCAGTAGTATTTTAAACACTATGTGCTACAAATACTAAAAGTGCCAGTCTAAACGAAAACTTTTCGTTTAGACTGGCACTTTTACTTTCACTTTTCATCGAACGAAACGGTCAAAACGGTCAGTCAAACTTAGGCTTAGTATGATTTTTTTTGTCCAGCCCATGTTGTCTCACTACTAGGCAGAAGTCTCCTCTAAGCTTTTCCAAGTGGTTTTGTCCTGCACCACATCGAACCAGCCTCCACAGTATGTGTCTAGGTTGCGTGAATTATATATATCATATATATAGACTTTATAGCGGCTGGGAAGTTAGTTGCGAGCGCTAGTCCTGTACCTTCACGCTTCGCTTTACGTATACTGATCTGAGACACCATCAAGTTTTCTTTCAACTACTTACTCGTTTACTTTTCCGAGCCGCCATAAAGATTTGACATTGACAACACCTTTCTTTCGTCGTAATGGTCGGTTACCAGTTCAAGTTACCATGAACGTGCAGTAGACTGACCTGATGGATTTATTTAAAGTTTGTGAAGCATGTGTTCTTTCATATATAGTTACTAGCCGACATCTCTCTTTTTTTGATAATAAAGATTATTTATTTATTTATCTCAATAATCTAATCGAGTTGAGCAGCCCCTTTCTAACCATATCACCGTTCACACAATCCATTAATCATTTAACTATCCTAACTTATTCCTCAATCTTCAGCATCCCATGTTCATACCATATGACAACCAATTTCCATGCAATATTTCGATCAATAGGAATGGCTGCGCCACTTCAGACTTCTACTTCCATACTCATTTCTAATTATATCCTATTTGTGTAACACCACAAAATATCAATTTTATAGTGTTTACAACCTGCAGGTTCTAATGACTTCCAACAGTAGCGTAGGTGGTGGATACTGGAGGTATTCGAGAGAGTAAGGACTAAAAATAAATAAAATAACAATAATGTATACTGATTAAAATCATTTATTCGTGATGAAATAATATTATTTAGTCAGAAATTTTATTTTAGACACATGAACCACATCACCCTTACGTCGAAGTACATCCAGCGTTTTATTTATACATTCTTTTTCAAAATGCAAGGAGCATATTCTTCTTACTACTGCAGGTTTTATGTTTTCCTGGCCTATATTATCAATCCACAATTTTTGGCAATCTAAAATAAATATTATGCATCCTTAAGTACCAATCAAAAATAATCTTAAGATCATCAAAACTTTTGATGAAAAAAACTATTGTAGAAAATTTACGATTTACACTATTTTCAAGTTCTTTCCTTAAATGAAAGGCTCGCAATCGATCGTTTGATTAAATATACAGTTTACTTTGATCATAGGACTACATTAATATTATTGTTAAAATTTATATCGATACTTTCATTCCGTAAGGGCAACACTATGTAAAAATGTAAACAATCAAAATGTTTACTTGTTTAAATTTACATGATAATAGTCATTGGAAATTCTAGATAATAGCGGAAAACACGATTTAGCACCCATAACATAACGCAATTCACACGGAAAAATATACGATAATGGAAAAAAATTACAACTAACCTGTAAAATGACAATCCTTCTTCATTTTTACGAGAATTTGAATTACATCCATTGATGCAATACTTTGTCATGTTGTTTTTGCTCAATTACCCTTTACTAATGAACAAAAAAGCTCCAAAATAGTCAAAATTCACTGAAACACTGATGAACACTGAAAAATAACTCTTAGAGAACAAGGCTTAGATGACAAAGGAACTACCACCATAGATAAGCTAATATAATCGGGAGACTACCACAAATGAACGTCATCCTAAAATGTAGAGATGGGTAACTCAGGAGAGATAGATAGAAAAGATATGAATCAATCCGTTTCCATCAATCACTCTTTATATCCATTCGCATCCGAATGTATCATAGTAGTAATAGTACAGACGTTTCTTTCGCAGCTCACTATTTAGAATGTTCTGTCACTTTTTAGCAAGACGGAGAGAGTGAGTTTGACCATTATAAACTGTAATACGTTTGCACAACAAGGTAAATTGATAGCTCTATGACTGGTGCATAGGGCTGATAGTCATTAAGCGGTACGTTAACATTTAAGTATTATACTGGTTTAAACTGTACCTATGTGTACTTTTCCTTTAATTTTTTTAGTAAACAATGCAAACGAATTTCTTTTATAAAACCATCGTTTTTAAGAAAGTTTTATAACCGAAATCAGTAGTCGTTTATATCCATAAAAAAGTAGAAAAAAGATTTGTGATTTACAAAATTAAACAAAGATATCAGTTTGCTTCATTAGTTCAACCTTAACCTCGGTTCGGAATCGAGTGTAATATTGTTTTCATTAATTGCATCGAATAGAAAAATATTTGAAGTAGTTGTTACGGCCTACAGCTGCTCCAGCAAGGGTCGAATCTTCCGGGGCCCATGAGCAGAAGATTCCACGAGCAGCCGCAGGTCGGGCCCAAAATGGCCACATGGAAGAATTTCCTATAACACTAAGCTATATGGGAGAATGCTAAAAACACATATTACGTACCAGTATCAGAAGCTAACTTAGCACCAAGGCTTGGTCAGGCCGTGAGTGGGTGTAAGGTGAATGGCAAGTAGTGTTCAGTGATGTGTAAAGGTCTGAGACCTTGACCACCTTAGGCGACCAGCAGCGAACGAGTCCCCGGATGCCCCACACTGCTGCATCGCTCCAGCAAGCTCCACCGCTGGACCATTTCTTTCTTCCTTGTCACTATTTCAGTCTATTAGCTTCATTGTCCATTTAACTAACTTTAACTCGCCTAATTCCACATTCATCGTAGAATCGAACACGTGATACCCGACACAGTAAGGACAGTAGTTCCAATTCGACAATCAATGTCCCGGATACACTTATCACAAAATTATAAATAGGAAATTAAAGCGATCTCTTAATGAGTCATACGATTCAGCGTTAAACACAACTAAGTTCCTTCATTCGACACCAAACACCACGTCGCGAAAAGATTCAAAATACGCCTCGTTGACACGTAAACTAACAAACCAACCAACACACAAAAAGGGCACTTAACGCGACGGCACAATTATAATGATTTCCTGACGATCAACCGGGAGAAGCTCTCGAACAAGGAATGCGCGGTTCGAATCCTAGACCGTATATCTACTCGACGCGCGCGTGCACAATTCCGCATCCCCGAACAAATTAAATATTGCAAAATTCACATATCCACGTAACGAAGTAACACGCACTTAATCTAACTATTGGGACCCGACAACGGTCGCGTGAACTACGTCCGTGATAACGAGCTACGCGGGTTCCCCTCATCGCGGCCAGTGGGCAACTCCCGCCCTCACGAGCGTCACACGCTGGGAAGCTGCCTACCGCTCCCCCTCCCCTCGATGCGCGTAACACCTGGTGCCATCGTGCGACTCACGAAGTCGAACGTGGTTGGATCTCGTACAAATTAACTTTTTTGGCCTAAACAGTAGTTTTGTACACTTAGTGACTATTTAATTTAAATGTAGGTAAATAAGACATTCAGTGTAAATAATTTAAAGTGTTTTTTGTTCTGTGTGTATGTACAGTTAGTGACTGTTTCATTTATTTTAAGTGTTAATAATTTTGCAAAGTTAGTGTTTTATTAACAAAAATAAATGGGTTCACGAAAACGAAGCGCATTGTGGAATCATTTTGAGGAAGTAGAACCAAAAAAAGTAAAATGCCTTTATTGTGCGAACATGCTAAATGTACCCGCTGGAAATTGTGGTAACCTAGGTAGACATTTAAAAAGTAAACACCCCACAGTACCCCTCGTAGCTAAAAGGCAGCCAAAGCAGCAGGCATGTTTTCAAGAAGCCCCGCAGGATACACTTCCCCGCGGCAACATCAACTGCGACAGAATCTGTCACGTCCAGTGCCCCTGCCTCTGGCCCTTCCTCCGCCGAGTTACCTCCTCATCAGCCGTATATCAAGGAATATGCGCATAGCACAAATTCCATGCCGCCTCGGCGAGCGGAACTTTTAGATGAGCAGCTTGTGCACATGATTGCAAATGGCTATTTTCCAATCAGTATCGTGGAGGACGAAGAATTTAAAAAAAATTGTACATATGCTGTGCCCAGGGTACACGCTGCCAACAAGGAAAACACTGTCACAGTCGTTAATTCCCGAAATATGCAAAAAAACAGGAAGAGAAATTGAGGCACAAGATGAAAAATGCTAATGCAGTCTGCCTTACGACTGATGGCTAGACGTCGGATAACAATGACAGATATTTAGCTATTACGGCTCATTACGTTGTCTCTACAACAGGCGACACGAAATCGCACTCGAATTTACTGGGAAGTGTGGAATACAACGAGAGGCACACCAGCAAAATCTCACTGAATTCCTGAAAAACATCATGCGAGAATGGAATGTTGATAATAATATTACCGCAATCGCCAGCGATAATGCCGCCAACATTACAGCAGCTATAAGGGAGGGTAAATGGCGGCAAATTCCATGTTTTTCCCACACATTAAACCTCTGCGTCCAATCGGCGTTGCAGCATTTGGCCCCAGTTTTAAATAAGGTGAAAAGCGTCGTCGAGTTATTTAAGCGGAGTACCCAAGCGAATCAAAATTAGTAATAATGCAGAAACGACTATGTCTTCCAATCCTCAAACTGAAACAAGACGTCGCCACCAGGTGGAACTCTACATACGACATGCTGCATCGGTTTAGCTCAACGAAAGATGCTATTGTAGCCACTATAGTCCTCATCAAACCTGACCTACCACTGACTGATTACGAATGGATGATAATTTAATCGGTTCACGCTGTATTGAAAATGTTTACAAAACGTTACAGTCGAAGTAAGCGGCGAAAAAAATATATCACTAGCTAAGGTCCTTCCACTGTGCAGAATTATGCTGGGTCATATTAGGAGCTGGCTGCAAGTGCAAAATACGGATCAACATATACCAGAAATAAAAAATGTCATCGAGCATTTACACAAGGAGCTCAATCATAGATTTGGTCACATCAAATCTAATATATTAAACGCGGAATCTATCATTCTGGATCCACGTTTTAAGAATAAGGGATTCCAGGACTCGAGATTGTACGGTAGGGCTCTGCAAGACTTAAAACTTAAAATTGGACGAAGTTCTTCAAGGACAACAATAATGCCAGCGATGGAGACAGTGCAACCAGAACCTTGCCCTAACCACTCAATTTGGTTTGAGTTTGACCAAGAAGTGGTTAGGCAAACAGCGGACAAACCAACGGCAGCGGGGATCGTAGAACTCGATAAATACCTACAGGAGCCGCTTTTAAAGCGTACAGAAGACCTCTTAAAATGGTGGCACGCTCGAAGGAACATATATCCTCTATTATTTAATTGTTTTGAAAAGACACAATCTCGTAGGTACGTCAGTTCCTTGCGAGAGAATATTTTCGAAAGCGGGATATACGCTGAATGAACTTTGAAGATGATTGACGACAAAAAAAGTGTCGCAACTCCTATACATAAGTTGCAACTCTGATATTTGAATAAGTATAAGTATGTGTAAAAACTATATGTACACATGTAAATGATGCTGTAAATAATAATCAAAAAATCACTGTACTGCACTGATTTCTAAATATGCCAACCTAAGAATCTAATTTTTACTTAATAAATTCAACTACGTATACCTAATATTTTACACTATAACTGAAATAACTGCACGTAAATAGGTTGCCAGTCCTAAGCCTGGAAAAGTATGAAGGGAAATCGGTAAACTATATATATATATTCTAGGTATACTAGGTATATATATTCTACAAATAAATACAAACAATACCTACCCTACCTATGTTATTTACGTTAATCATTAATTTAATTATTATTTTAAACTAAAAATTTAAGTTAATTTTTCGAATAAGTGCCTATTAATATTTATCAATCATAACAATAATAGCGTTCGCTGTAAGTTTCACAGTACGCGAGTAACCCGGGTTCGATCCCCGCCGGCACCAATGAAATTGTCAATTGCAATTTTAAGCGCTGATTTACCACGTGCTCGGCGATGAAGGAAAACATCGTGAGGAAACCTGCATGTCTGAGAAATACATACATACATATAATCACGCCTCTTTCCCGTAGGGATAGGCAGAGACCACTTCTTTCCACTTGCTACGATCCTTACATACTTGTTTCGCTTCGTCCACTTTCATTATTCTCTTTATACATGCTCGACGGTTTAGGGCGCTCTTGACCTGGCCTTTTTTCAAGACGTCCCTGATTTGGTCTTGAAATGTCCGCCTAGGTCTACTCCTTCCAGCACTTTCATTCACACTCGCCTTATACACTTTTTTCGTCAATCGTTTTTCATTCATTCTCCGACATGGCCAAACCATCTCAGCATACCTTTCTCAATTTTTGTCACTACATCTTCTTTCAGACCACAACGTTTCCTTATCTCACTATTCCTTACGCTCTCATCTCAACTGCATTTATTCTGCTTTCGTGTTTCTTCTGCCATACTCAACTTTCACTTCCGTACATGAGTGTCGGAACCAACAACCCCTCATGCACAGCCAAACGAGCCTTGTCAGACACCTTCCGACTGCTCATAAAGGAGTGCAAAGCTCCATCCACCATGTTTCCTGCATTCACTCTTCTTTCGATATCACTCTCATACTTTCCATCTCTTGTAAAGGGGTTCGTTCATTCGTGGCTTAACGTGGACAAGTTGTTCTGTGAAAAGTATTTTTACGAAAAAATATAATTAAATCTAAAATTAATATTTTTTTAATTGTCGCAGCAGGGATGTAAATTTAAAAACAAGTAGTTTTAATAAGTATTTAAGCCGCTCGCCATTTTTTGTTTGGAGGCTGATTCTGTGCTGCCACATTAATAATAATTGTGATTACAGTCTTAATATACGATTTAAAATAATCGATTTTTAAATCTGACTAAAAAAATATGTATTTTCTTGAAAATGTGCTGTCAAGTTATTTTCAGAAGGTTTTTATTATATTTATTTTCCTTTAATTATACCACCCGGCTTTACCGTTGGACACTGTAGCTACTCATGACGATAACTGATTTTGGTAAACGTTGTATCGGCTTTAAATGACAAGAAATACTCATAATTGCAACTTTTTCAGCAACAAGTTTCAGCATTACACATACTAAATATGAAATATTTTTACACGCTCCTGCAACCATATTACTATAATTCGTTTCTTTGAGGTATCTATAATATAAAAATGAATCGCTAAATGTGTTGCTAAGCGCAAATCTCGAGTACAGCTGAACCGATTTCGCTAATTCTTTTTTTATATTATTCCTTGAAGTACGAAGATGGTTCTTACGGAGAGAAAAATTTAAAAAATTGCCTAAAAAAGTCTAAAAACAACACTTTTGTATATTCCCTTACAATAGATTCGTAATAATACTTAAAAGTCAATTTGAACTTTAATACCATACCATAAAGTTTAAGTGTTAGTGGAGAGGTTCCAGGAAGGCAAAAAAATTGAGTGACGTTAGTATCGTATAAATATTAATGTCAATATTTGTCAATAGTGTTTTATAATTTTTATTTTTTGACATAATGTAATTGTTGACTTATCAACTTTCTTTTTCCTTTTTTATCTTACTAGCTGACCCGGTGTCCCAAATAGCAGAATAAGTATTTAAAAAAATTAAAGAATCGACTGTTAGGCGGTACGAAGTTCGCCGGGTCAGCTAGTAAACTATTAAAAACCCCAGTTATTAAATACTATAGTTAATGTTCACGTTGAGCCAAATTACCCTCACAAACTGAGCAATTCCATTTGAACCCAGATACACAAACTCTTTCACTGTTCAATCTGTTCATCTCCAATCACGATATTGCAGTCTGTCACTGCCTCATCTCTTTTAAACACCATCACTTTTGTCTTCCTTACATTCATCTTCATTCCCTTTCTAATCAAAGCTCCACTCATAGTAGTTACCATCTTCTGCAACCCCTCGGCCGAAGACGCAAGTAATACTTGGTCATCAGCATAGAGAAAACATTTGACGAGTAACTCATTCATTCTCAACCCGCTTTCATTCTCTTTTAAATCTGTCAAGCAATTGTCCATGAACAGATTAAACAGCCACGCTGACGCTACACATCCCTGTCTAACACCTTTTTCAATATTAAACCATTCAGTGTAAGCCCTGTTTATTCTTACACAAGCACTAGAATCCCTATAAAGAGATTGCAATGCTCGTACGAGCATACTGCTCACGCCGTTCACGGACAGTGCTGACCACAATTCATTCCTCACCACTCATCATAGGCCTTTTCTAGGCCCACGAACGCGCAATAAACCTTCTTGTTTTTAGCCAAACACTTTTCGGCTATGCACCGCAAGGAAAAGACCTGATCCGTACATCCCATTCCCTTTCTAAATCCCGCTTGTGCATCCCATACTTTTTCGTCTGTTCCATTCACAACCCTTTCAATCAACACTTTCGCATACAATTTACCGACGACGCTGAGAAGGCTTATAGCGCGGTAATTTATGCAGTCCTTCCGTGACACTTTTCTCTTATACAAAGGCACGATTACGGCTTTGCACCAGTCTCCTGGTACTTGTCCATTTCGCTAGCACAAATTGAAAAGGCGGTACAGCTGACTAGCCACTATGTCCTGTCCAGCCCTCAGCATCTCGACGGTAATCCTGTCATACCCTGCAGCCTTACCTACTCTCATACTTTCAACGCTTTCACTATTTCATCCATGCTTATCTCACTTTCATCAACATTTATATTAGTTTCTATGGAAGGTGCCGGATGCTGTACCTGCACTTCCTCTCTTTCAAACAAACTTTCAAAATACTCTTTTCACCTCTTTAATACACATTCTTCTCCTTTTATAATGCAGCCATCTTGACTCCTGATTGTACTCAGCTCCGAGGTAGAAGTTTTTCCTCTGGCTGTTTTGATGGATTTCCAGAACAACTTAATGTTTGACTGGAAATCTTCAGTGAGCCTCCTATCGAAATCATCCTTTTTTTTCTTCTTTCTTTCTAGACACAACTTCTTTCGCTGCTGTTTTCAATCTTTTAAACTTCGTTCTTGCTTCGTTTATCTCGTCATCCGTTGCCTTTTGAACTTTTCGTTTAGCTTTTGTTGCTAACCAATCCAACCACGCTTTGTTCTTTTCTTGCACAACCCTTTGTACATCTTTATCCATCCACACGTTATAGTTCTTTCGTCCTTTCTTTCTTTTAGCTACCCCGCATACTTAAATAGCAACATTCACGACCCCTTTCTTAAATGTCTGCCACAAATCTTCAATCACACCTATGCCTTCTATGCCCTTAAAACTTTCTTTCAGTTTCTCTACATACTCATCTTTCTTTTCTTTTTTTTGTAGATTTTCTACTTTTGCTCTGTCCAGAACACTCGTAGGCTCGGCCCCTCGGTGTATCCACCGTTTAAAGAGGCCACGCATTCGGGCTATGACCAAGAAGTGGTCTGTGTCGAGGCCTACACCTCGTTATGCCCGAGTGTCTAGCACTTTCTTCCTCAGTCTTTCATCCACAATTACAAAGTCAATCATACTTCCCACCCTCATCTCTTGTATACAAATGGATCTTTTTGTGGTCAAACATTGTGTTGGCCACGCACAAATTCCATTCCAAGCATACTTCAAGCAGGTTTCTCCCATTGTCATTCACTCTCTCGTCCCCAAACGTACCCAGAACTCCTTCATACCCATCACGCTTTACTCCAACCCATCCATTAAAGTCCCCTAACATCACGATCTGTTCATTTTCTCCGCATTTATTCAAGACCTCTCTCATGCTATCCCAAAATTCCTCTCTCTCTCTTGTTGGGATTTTAATGACCCACATCCACGCAGATCCATCGGTACATAGACCCCAAGGATAAACAAGCGAGTGAGTCCGACTTTTAACCTAATCCAGAGGAGTCTTGGGCTTAAACATTCATGCTCCATCACACATTCAACCATTCGAGATGAAAGAATCACATCAACTCCCTGACAGCCTCGGCTGGTTTGGAGGACTCCCGACCAGTATGCCGTGTAGGGGCCATGAACCGTGGTGTCACATCCTTTCCTCTTGGTTTCGTTCACAAACAGAATGTCAGTGCATCGTTCATCCATCATCTGACATACTTCATCTATCTTACCATCCATTCCTCCTCTTACATTCAACGTAGCCAAGCGGCTTTCCGTGGGCTGCTTTTTATAAACAACAAAATAATCTACGTTAGAGGTCCTAACTATAGCTACCATACACTTAAAAAAATCTAAATGCCTACTTAAATAATAAAACGGATCCTAAATAAATCCTTAAATCCAAAATTAAATTCCTAAATATATATAAATAGGTACCTAAACTACGTCTAATAGAATAAAATAACCTATTTGATACCTAGGTACCTATTTAAAACTACAGCTAAATAAAATAAAAAGTTTAATTTATAATTAAG